GAAAAAATCCCTGCCTCTGAAAACACTTGCCTCCAAGCTTTGAGTACTGTAGTGCGTCGCGTCTGCCATCTTGCCCCCCGGTTGTCGTTGATCCGGCAATGCCCGCGCGCATCAGAACCATCGTAAGATAGAGCAAGCCCAAGCCGCCGACGCATCGCGCACTGGAGTACACCGTAAGCCATGCCGCCGAGAATAGCCCTGAACAGGAGCGCAAACGCGCTTTGCCGACAGTGGCTGCATTTCGGCGGGCCCCCGGACCACCACCCAAAATAACCATGAGATCTTCGCGCGACTTGCGCTCCACTGCGTCGGGCGAGTGGTATTGCCATCCATGTTGCCATTCACCTACTGAGAGTTGCCCTGGTGGTGAGGGCGGAGGCCGGACCCCGCCCGCTACGTCGTTCCACAGTGGTCGGTCCTGCCATCTTTGTTCAACGCACCATTTTCCAGCCAATTCCGCAGCTGTGATACATTCTGGCCCAACGTGAACCTCTTGAGGCTGTAATGCTTCAGCTGCGCGAAGATCCGCCAGGGCACGTTGTCCGCACTGCGGATATCGAGCAATTCTTTCTGGTAGGGAATCCGCCCAACTTGCCCAATAAGCCGCTCTGGACGCACGTTCCGAATGGCGCAACCCAGCACCGCCGAATCGCAGAGGGAGCCGCGCTTGTGATACCCATGTCGCGTACGCCACTCCGTGTAGGTTGGCATTCCAAGTAGCTTCAGAGGCCAACCTAAACAGGCATCTGAAAACTTCCAACACATGGTCATCAAATAACGCTGTGCTCTGTCGTACCTATTTCCGGGGAGGTCGCACGGAGCAAGTGGCTCAGCCTTGGTACTGCGCAAACGTATAACAATAGCCATCCAATGTGCAGAGAAGTGAGCTTAGAAATAGCTTGTGTCAGCTTCGCCTTCTTTGCCAAACACGTCAGCGCAAAATTGAGATACAAATGCATCGCACCCCACCGGCGCCCCCAGGATACGTATTCCCCGTTCCTCTGGTGGTTTGTCGGTTCTCCAGAAATCCGCCCCAAATCCCATCAGATCCGCAGGGCACGGCACAATTCCTTTGCTCCACCCAACTAGTTTACCAATACTAGCCGGCCGCTCTGCGGTTGATCGGGAGTTTCTGTATATAGAAGAAGGTGCGTGCGCCTGTTGGCGAGGGTGAGGATGAGGTTCCTCCTCCTCCTCCTCCTCCTCCTCCTCCTCCTCCTCCTCCTCCTCCATCCTTTCTCTTGCCTTCCTCCTCCTCCATCTCTTGCCTACCCCTCCCTGCTCACTCCTCCTCCTCCTCACCTCCTCCTCCTCCTCCTCCCTCCTCTTCCTCCTCCTCCTCCTCCTCCTCCTCCTCCCTCCTCCTCCTCCTCCTCCCTCCTCCTCCTCCTCCTCCTCCTCCTCCCTCCTCCCCTCCTCCCCTCCTCCCTCCTCCTCCCCCTCCCTCCTCCCTCCTCCTCCTCCTCCTCCTCCTCATTCCTCCTCTGGGCACCTCCCCCGGGGCGCGGATCCACCGGATCTGTCCGGATCTGTCCGGAAACGGTGCCGGAGGCCGCTCTGGGCTCCTCTGGGCACCTCCCCCGGGGCCGGTTTTGTGAGGATGTCTCAAGCGAGGGCGCCGGTTTGGGATTCGGATCACCGGATCCAGCGGATCTGTCCGGAAACGGTGCCGGAGGCCGCTCTGGGCTCCTCTGGGCACCTCCCCCGGGGCCGGTTTTGTGAGGATTGTCTAAAGCGAGGGCGCCGGTTTGGGATTCGTCACCGGATCCAGCGGATCTGTCCGGAAACGGTGCCGGAGGCCGCTCTGGGCTCCTCTGGGCACCTCCCCCGGGGCCGGTTTTGTGAGGATGTCTCAAGCGAGGGCGCCGGTTTGGGATTCGTCGGCGGATCCACCGGATCCAGCGGATCTGTCCGGAAACGGTGCCGGAGGCCGCATGGGCTCCTCTGGGCACCTCCCCCGGGGCCGGTTTTGTGAGGATGTCTCAAGCGAGGGCGCCGGTTTGGGATTCGTCGGCGGATCCACCGGATCCACCGGATCTGTCCGGAAACGGTGCCGGAGGCCGCTCTGGGCTCCTCTGGGCACCTCCCCCGGGGCCGGTTTTGTGAGGATGTCTGTTTGGGATTCGTCGGCGGCGGTCCAGCGGATCGTTGCCGGAGCTCTCTGGGAGGGCCCGGCCGGTTTTTGGGATTCGGTTTGGGATTCGGCGGATCCACCGGATCTGTCCGGAAACGGTGCCGGAGGCCGCTCTGGGCTCCTCTGGGCACCTCCCCCGGGGCCGGTTTTGTGAGGATGTCTCAAGCGAGGGCGCCGGTTTGGGATTCGTCGGATCCAGCGGATCCACCGGATCTGTCCGGAAACGGTGCCGGAGGCCGCTCTGGGCTCCTCTGGGCACCTCCCCCGGGGCCGGTTTTGTGAGGATGTCTCAAGCGAGGGCGCCGGTTTGGGATTCGTCGGCGGATCCACCGGATCCACCGGATCTGTCCGGAAACGGTGCCGGAGGCCGCTCTGGGCTCCTCTGGGCACCTCCCCCGGGGCCGGTTTTGTGAGGATGTCTCAAGCGAGGGCGCCGGTTTGGGATTCGTCGGCGGATCCCGGATCAGCGGATCTGTCCGGAAACGGTGCCGGAGGCCGCTCTGGGCTCCTCTGGGCACCTCCCCCGGGGCCGGTTTTGTGAGGATGTCTCAAGCGAGGGCGCCGGTTTGGGATTCGTCGGATCCACCGGATCCAGCGGATCTGTCCGGAAACGGTGCCGGAGGCCGCTCTGGGCTCCTCTGGGCACCTCCCCCGGGGCCGGTTTTGTGAGGATGTCTCAAGCGAGGGCGCCGGTTTGGGATTCGTCACCGGATCCAGCGGATCCAGCGGATCCCGGATCTGTCCGGAAACGGTGCCGGAGGCCGCTCTGGGCTCCTCTGGGCACCTCCCCCGGGGCCGGTTTTGTGAGGATGTCTCAAGCGAGGGCGCCGGTTTGGGATTCGTCGGCGGATCCACCGGATCCAGCGGATCTGTCCGGAAACGGTGCCGGAGGCCGCTCTGGGCTCCTCTGGGCACCTCCCCCGGGGCCGGTTTTGTGAGGATGTTTCAAGCGAGGGCGCCGGTTTGGGATTCGTCGGCGGATCCGGATCCACCGGATCTGTCCGGAAACGGTGCCGGAGGCCGCTCTGGGCTCCTCTGGGCACCTCCCCCGGGGCCGGTGTTGTGAGGATGTCTCAAGCGAGGGCGCCGGTTTGGGATTCGTCACCGAGCGGATCCACCGGATCTGTCCGGAAACGGTGCCGGAGGCCGCTCTGGGCTCCTCTGGGCACCTCCCCCGGGGCCGGTTTTGTGAGGATGTCTCAAGCGAGGGCGCCGGTTTGGGATTCGTCACCGGATCCACCGGATCTGTCCGGAAACGGTGCCGGAGGCCGCTCTGGGCTCCTCTGGGCACCTCCCCCGGGGCCGGTTTTGTGAGGATGTCTCAAGCGAGGGCGCCGGTTTGGGATTCGTCGGCGGATCCACCGGATCCACCGGATCTGTCCGGAAACGGTGCCAGAGGCCGCTCTGGGCTCCTCTGGGCACCTCCCCCGGGGCCGGTTTTGTGAGGATGTCTCAAGCGAGGGCGCCAGTTTGGGATTCGTCGGCGGATCCACCGGATCCACCAGATCTGTCCGGAAACGGTGCCCGAGGCCGCTCTGCGCTCCTCTGGGCACCTCCCCCGGGGCCGGTTTTGTGAGGATGTCTCAAGCGAGGGCGCCGGTTTGGGATTCGTCGGCGGATCCACCGGATCCACCGGATCCACCGGATCCACCGGATCTGTCCGGAAACGGTGCCGGAGGCCGCTCTGGGCTCCTGTGCTCCCCGCGCCGGGGGTGAGGATGACGGTAGTTCCACAGAGACTCCCTCAAATGAAATACCAATATTGCAAGTATCTCGTAGGACCTGCCTTGTACGAGCAAAAATCCGTGCTGCTTGGCCCAAATCACAAACTATGTATATATCGTCCAGATACGCCAGTAATGTTGTCCCATCTGGGAATCCAGCCTCCAACCCCTGCAAGGCGGAGTGGAGGGCCAAGCAGAACACTGCAGGCATCAACGCATCTCCTTGTTTCCCGCCCTCTCCTTGGCGAATCACATGGGTCGTGTTCGCGTCGTCTTCCCAGCAAAACTTGGATTGCGCACCGTACCACTGCCGTACGAAAGGCATTAACTTAGATAATCGTGGGTTGGCCAACAGCTGTTCGAACATGCGCGCTCGAGACACGTGGTCGAAAGCCCCCACCCCGTCCACGCTGAGAATCGTTTTCGTGGAGTCCGCGTCCGCGATGCACTGCAGTAGGTGCACTGCCGCATCTGCGCCATTGCGATTACATAAACCGAAGTTGTAGGGAAACACAGCTGCACGAAGATCGTCTTGAAACTGGCGGGCCAGCGTCGTAGCAACAAGTCGCCGGAACGTATATTCTGATGAAATGCCCCGGATTTTGTCGCTGTCTTTCTTCAGCGCGGTTAGGGCGGACACGCGCATCATATTAATGATATCATTGGGGACTTCTGCTTGAACCAGGCGTTGGGCCACACCGAACAAGGCATCGAAAACTCGTTCATCGTCCAAGCATAATTTGTAAAAATCGCATCTGCTTCCAAGCACGCCCGCGCTCAACCCCCGCCGGGTTTTGCGCAATACTTCGGCGAACAGGTTTTTTATCAAGTTCTAGTTGTTCTTCCAAGCAGTAGTCGGGTACAGTTGCAGGTAGGTGTTCGAACGGGTTCTCAGGTCGGAGTTGGGGATTATATAATTCGTCCAATGTGCGTTGAGATCCTTCGGCTGCGCCATTAGATTGAAGAATACGTGCTGCGTGGCTGAATTCCCCATCAGCTGCTAATTTCATGGCCCGCTTCTGCCGGGTTGCCTCCGTATCTCCCCGCCCGGGAGTGCGTACGTCGTCCATTCTGCGGGACTCGTCCAATAGTTTGTCCCATTCTCGCCCTGGCGCGTGCGCCGGCGCGCGGGCCTCGCCCAGAAGCGCCTGCCATGGCGCCCGAGCGGCCCATCCTCACGCGCGCGCTGGCGGCCGCGGTGGTGGCCCTGTGCCGCAGGGGCGCCGGCTTCGCGGGCTCGCCCACGCCCGCCTGCCAGCGCGGCGAGCGCGTGGCCGCGCGCGTGAGCGCGGAGTACCTGGAGCGCTGCGGGCCGAAGGACGCGAATGTGGCGTTCGACGCCTCGGCCGCCATTGGTCCGGGCCCCACCGTCACCTACAAGAAGCGCCCCTTCGGCATCCTGCGCTACCAGCCGGGCAACGGCATGAAGGGCGCGATGGCCATGGAGGTGATGCCAGTGTCCCGGCACCCTGGGGACCCTCAGGGCCAGGCGTTCTCCGCCGGCGTGTCGGGCGGCATGGTGGTGAAGTCTATCGTCGGCGCGGAGATGTTGACGGAGGACTTCGGCAAGATCATGGACCGGCCCGACGACGAGGTGGCCGACCCGCGCTTCTCGAAGTTCACCGCGCTCGCCCTGGAGAAGTTGGGGAGGAAGGCGGACACCGCTGAAACCGCCCATCGAGGTGGTCTACGCGACCGTGCCGGGCTACGTGCACGCGGGCGCCGAGATGAAGGCGGACGGCCAGGAGCACGAGCTCCGGGAGCACGCCTACGTCCCATCGGCAACTTTTTGGGGGATGCAGCCAGTGATGGGGCGCTGGCTGCCGCGAATGTCCATGATGACTATGTGTTCCAGTTTGGCTATCCTCCTCCCCCTCCTAAATCTCCCCCCGAATGTACCCTTTTTCCCGCGGCGGGCTGGCCTCCTAGAGTTCAGATTCTCCCCTTTCTCCCTCTTCCCTGTTGCTGCCTTGCTTTCGACTGCGCTTGCTGCTTCGTCGGGGCCGCCCGCTCGTCCTCCCTCGCCCGCAGGTCGACTGGCCCGCCGCTGCTCCTGGCCGGCACCGCGGCTACCGCTGCCGCGACCAGCGACGCCAGCACTTCCACGACGACTGCCACGACCGCGGCTACGACGGCTACGTCCCATCCCACGACCAGGCCCTCCCCCACTTCCACGCAAACTACCACACACTCCACTGCGGCTACGACCAGGGCCACGACCGCTGCCACGACCATGACAACGACCAGCGGCGCCTGCACTGCCACGTCGACTACCACGTCCGCGGCTACGACGCTTACGACCCCTCCCGCGACCATGAGCACTCCCACTGCCACGCCAACTACCACGACCTCGACCACAACCACGACCTGGGCCACGACCACCACCGCGACCATGACCACGACCAGCGACGCCTGCACTACCACGCCGGCTACCACGACCGCGGCTACGACGCTCATGATCCATCCCACGACCATGTCTACTCCCACTGCCACGCTAACTACCACGACCTCCACTACGACCACGACCAGGGCCACGGCCGCGAGCATTCCTACGGCGACGAGGGACGCGATCGCGGCCATCACCACGGCCACGTCCAGCGACGCCAGCAGTACCGTGTCAACTACCACGACTGCGTCGACGACGGCTACGGCTCCTCCCACGACCACGACCACGCCTGCTCCCACGCCAACTATACCACGACCTCCACTACGACCACGACCGGGGCCACGACCGCTACCACGGCGACATCGACCACCACCGACGACGGCTTCGCCGGCATCGGCTCCGACGGCGGCTTCGGCACCACCTCCGACGGCGGCCCCCGCGCCGACGACTCCGACACCAGCTCCAGCCGCGACCCCAGGGCTGGTTCCAGCGGAGATGCCGATTGGCTTGGCGTTGCTCACGACGTCTGCAGCGTTGGCTCCGAAAGCAATTCCGACGGCAGCATCGACGAGGCTTTTGACGCCTACCTCGACAGCGGCACCAGCGCCGGCTCCGACAACGACACCGTCGGCGTCTCCGACGCCGGCTCCGACGGCAGCCCCACGGCCGTACAGGTCGACGCTCCCGACGCCAGCTCCGAGGGCGACACCGGCGACATCTTCGGAAGAGACTTTGACGCCAGTTCCGAGGGCGACCCTGGAGCCAGCTCGAGGGGCGACACCAGCGCCTACGCCGGAATGAACGCCAGCGCCGACACCAGCAACAGCGCCAGCATCGACGCCAGCGCCAACGCCCGCGCCTACGCCGACACCAACGCCAGAGCCTACGCCACCGTCGACGACACCACCGACGACAACGCCAACGCCCGCGCCTACGCCGGCATGAACGCCAGCGGCAGCGCCAGCATCGACGCCAGCGCCAGCGCTCGCGCCTACGCTGGCACCAACGCCAGAGCCTACGCCACCGTCGAGAACAGCACCGACGACTGCACCAACGCCGGCGCCTACGCGGGCATGAATGCCAGCGCCTACACCAGCACCAGCGCCAGCATCGACGCCAGCGCCAACGCCCGCGCCTACGTCGGCACAAACGCCAGAGCCTACGCCACCGTCGACGACAGCACCGACGACAGCACCAACGCCCGCGCCTACGCTGGCATGAATGCCAGCGCCTACACCAGCACCAGCGCCAGCATCGACGCCAGCGCCAACGCCCGCGCCTATGCCGGCACAAACGCCAGAGCCTACGCCACCATCGACGACAGCACCGACGACAGCACCAACGCCCGCGCCTACGCTGGCATGAATGCCAGCGCCTACACCAGCACCAGCGCCAGCATCGACGCCAGCGCCAACGCCCGCGCCTATGCCGGCACAAACGCCAGAGCCCACGCCACCGTCGACGACAGCACCGACGGCAGCACCAACGCCGGCGCCTACGCCGGCATGAACGCCAGCGCCTACGCCACCACCAGCGCCAGCATCGACGCCAGCACCAACGCCCGCGCCTACGCCGGCACCAACGCCAGAGCCTACGCCACCATCGACGACAGCACCGACGACAGCACCAACGCCGGCGCCTCGGTCGGCATGAACGCCAGTGCCTACACCAGCACCAGCGCCAGCATCGACGCCAGCGCCAACGCCCGCGCCTACGACAGCACCAACGCCAGAGCCTACGCCACTGTCCACGACAGCACCGGCACGAGCACGACTACGACGACGAGTCCGAGCACGAACCAGTGCAAACAGCACTACCAGCATCACCACGGGCATAACCAGTGCAATCAGCACGACCACACACGGACGACCAGCACCAGCGACACGGGCAACCAGCACGACCACCTGTGCAACCAGCATGCCTACGACTGCCACGAGCACGAACACTACAGCGGCAACCACCGCCGATGCGGCGATTCCTACCACCAGCACCGGCTCGGCTCCCACGACTGCGAGGACCAGCTCCTGGGCGCTACACCAGAACCCCCACGAGGCCACTACACTAGTTCAGCCGAGCTTTACTTTCACCAGCACCTCCGCTCTTGCGCCGCATGCGCGTCGGGAGCGGCATGCACTTCTGCGTGCCCATGTGGATTCCCATCTCCCGACTCTCAATGGCCAGCGCGCTGCCTTTCGCATGGGGCCTCACTCGCTCTCGGTGGGGTGCACAGTATCCTCCAACGAGCCCCCGCGCTCCTCGCAGCTCTCCCAATCGTGGCTCCTTCGGTCATGTTATGGGCTGTGACGGGGCAGGTCCTGAGCTCCACGCTCGGGGAGGCGCTTCCCGTCCCCGTGCACCCGGCGTTGCTCCTCGCCTCCGCCTGCGTGTCCCTAGCTTCTCTCGAGGTCGTCGTCTATGGGGCCATGGTGCACGGCGGACCCGCGCAGCGGGGCTTGGCAGCGATCTGTGCGACGGCCCTCGCTCACGACTTCCACGTCCGACGCCCCCTGTGCGAGGCTTTGACGCCGGCTTCCACGGCGGCCCTCAGCCCAGCGTGGTTCTGCCCAACGAGCCCCGCTGCTTGGGCCGGCCAGGTGGTCCTCCTCGTTCGGGCGGTCACCACGCCTGCTTTCCCCGCTTCGGATGGCATTTGCGCCACGTGCCAATGGGAGACTAATCGGTGAACGTGCCGGCGGGGCGGTTCCCGCAGCCCTCAGCGTCCGAGCGCCGCGGCGGCTTCCTCTGCCTCTGCGGGCCCAGCGAGGCAGGAGGTCCACGTGAGCAACACGTTTGTCGAGGCGGGGCCAGCGGTTCGCTCCCCTGGGCGACACCTCCGGCGCAACCGGACTGATGGGGATGAGCCGCTCCTGGTCGTGGGACTCGGCGGGTTGAATCTCGACCCTGCCAGCGACATGCATGTGGACGCGGGGATTCCTTTGGAGGAACAGCGCCGGGCCGAGGCTCTCAACAGCCCCCCGGCCAGCGCTCCTGGGGAGGGCGCCCCGCCGCCCGGGGCTCCACAGGCAGCGCCGCCAGCCGGGCAAGAGATCCTGCCCCCCCTCCCCCGGCGCCCGATCCTGCCCACCAGCGCAGGGTTCGCGCCCGCGTCCGGGTGCACTGCCCCGTCCCTGGGTGCCCGCGCGGCGACGCCGCGTCCTCCGCCGGCTGGGGGGACCACCAAAGCATGCGCCCGCACCTGAACGAGCACGCCGCCGGGCGGCCCCCTGGGCTGCCACCAGTCCCGCCAAGGTACCTGCAAGAGCACCGGTTGGAGCAATACTCGGTCTGCCAACGGTTCTTGTCGACGCGCTTCGGCGGCATCTGCCCGCGTTGCCGCCCTGCCGCGCGCGCGGCCGCAGCCGTGGCAGCCGCCGCTCCCGCCGCTGGCGGCCAAACGCACAGCGAGCCCGCGGGTCTCCCCTCCCTCCGGGAAGCTTTCTCCAAGCGCTCCACCACCAAGCGCTACGTCCCGAAGGGCGCCCGGGACCTCTGGGCACGGTGCTTAGTGCAGACGGTGGCCCAGACCGTGCACAACAATTGCGAGGCTGCGTGGACAGAGCTTGCGATGCTCCCGAAATGCGTCCTGCGCCCTCACACCCGTGGCGGCCGAGGCAGCAGGACGGCCGGCGAAGCGCAGACCAAGGCGCTGTGCCGGCGCTGGCTGGACGGGGAGCGCGCCTCCCTGTGGGCCGATGCAGTTGAGGCTCGCGCTGCCAAGCACGCCTCGCAAGCCTCCCAGCGAGCGGAGAGGTGCGTGCAGCTCGCCGCAGACGCCCAGTACTCCAAGAGCTGCTCGGCTCTGACCAGCGAGACGCCCGTGGAGGTCACCCCCGACGTCGTCGAACAGATGAGCCGGAAGCACCCGCGCAGCCGCCAAGCTGTGGATCCCGCCAGCCTTCCGGCTGTCCACGCGGCTGCTGCCCTGCAGATGGACGGGGGCGCGGTCCGTAGGGAGGTGCGGGCCTTCCCCCGGGGCTCGGCCGCCGGGCCAACGGGCCTCCGACCCCAACACCTCAAAGACGCACTGCTCAACGCGGCCCACAGGGACGAGGTCACCGACCAGCTCCGGAACCTTGTCAACCTCTGCGCCAGGGGGCAGGCCCCGCCGACCGTGTCCGAGTACTTCGCGGGCGCCTCTCTCGTGGCCCTGCCGAAGAAGGACGGAGGCCTGCGCCCTGTTGCCGTCGGGGAGGTGCTCCGGCGCCTCGTCGGCAAGTGCCTCTGCCACGAGGTTGCCGACGCCGCGCGCGACCGACTGGCTCCCCTCCAGATCGGCGTCGCGGTCCCTGGCGGCACCGAGGCGGCGGTGCACGTCGCGCGCCAGTGGTGGACCCGCCACCTCGGGGACCGGGGAAAGGTGTTTGTGAAGCTGGACTTGTCTAACGCCTTCAACACCCTGGACAGGCAGGCTCTGCTCCGCGCGGTCCACGAGGAGTTTCCCGGGCTGGCACCCTGGGCCGACTGGTGCTACTCCCGCCCGTCAACTCTCTTCCTGGGCGCCCAGACAGTCCGCTCCGAGTGCGGAGTGCAGCAGGGCGACCCCCTGGGGCCCCTACTGTTCTCCCTAGCACTACAGCGCGCCGCCGAGGCCGCCCTTCGCGCGCCGCGCCACGGCGCCGACGGCGCCGTCGACTTGAGTTTCTTCTACTTGGACGACGGCTGCCTCGCGGGCGACGCGCCGGCCGTCGCGCGCCTCCTCCACTTGCTCGTGGCCAGCCTTGCCGCGGTGGGCCTCCAGCTGAGCACCGGCCCGGGCAAGTGTGAGGTGGTCCCCACTGGCGGAGACGCCTCCGACGTGTCTCTGGACGGCTTCCCGCCGGGCTTCCGCCTCCGCACCGATCGCAGCTTCGAGCTGCTCGGCGCGCCAGTGGGAGACGCGGACTTCTGCGCGGAGCACACCAAGCAGCGGGTCGCGAGCGCCACCGACTTGCTGGAAGCTCTGGGGGAGCTCGAAAACGCGCAGGTCGCGCTGCACCTCCTGCGCCAGTGCGCCTCCTTCTGCAAGCTGGGCTACTCCGCGCGCGTGGTGCCGCCCACCGCGCACGCCGCCTCCCTGCTGGCCATGGACGACGCTGTCCGGGCCTGCCTTGAGCAACTGAGCGGCTGCTCGCCCTCCGACGCTTCTTGGCAGCAGGCTCAGCTAAAGCTCAGGAAGGGAGGACTTGGCCTGCGCTCTGCCGCGAAGCACGCCGCCGCCGCCTACATCGCTTCCAGAGCGAGGAGCACCGACCTCTGTCGGCAGCTCTACCCCGGCTACTCCAACAACCCCGACCGCGACGGAGGTAGCCTGGCGGCTGCGGTGCAGGCCCACAACGCAGTCGTGCGGGACGCCGACCGGGTGGTGTTCGACCACGCGCAGCACGGCAACCAGAAGGCCCTCTCCGACGCGGTGGACAGCGCCTCGCTCGACGGACTTCTGGCGGGCTCCACCCTGGCCGGCAAGGCGCACCTCTCTCTGGTGCAAGCCCCAGGCGCGGCCGCGTGGCTCCAGGCGCCGCCCTGCGAGGCCACCGGCACCGCCTTCCCGCACGGCCTCATGCAGGTCGGCCTGCAGAGGCGGCTGCGAGTCCAGCTCCTGCAGGAGGACTGCTTCTGCCCAGCCTGTGGCGAGGTGATGGACGTTTTCTGCGACCACGCCCTGGTCTGCGCCTGCCGCGGCGACCGGACCAAACGCCACGACGCCCTGCGCAACCAGGCCTTCTTCGACGCCCTGGCCGCCGGCCACGCCGGGGCGGAGTTGGAGCGCCCGGGGCTGCTACCCGCGCGCCCCGCCGGGGAGGCCACCCCCGGGGGCGAGCAGGGCGGGCCCCAGGTGGACGACAACGGCCGCCGCCCTGCCGACGTCTACCTGCCGCGGTGGCGCAACGGCACGGCGGCCGCCTGGGACTTTGCCGCCACGTCAGGGTTGCGCGCCGATCTCCTCGCCGCGTCGGCCGCTTCGTCAAGCGCAGCGACGGAGCGGCACGAGGAGTTCAAAAGGCAGCACCAGGACACCGCGCGGCTCTGCGCGGCACAGGGCTTCACTCTCCTCCCCATGGTGGTGGAAGCCCACGGCGGCGGGTGGGGCCGCGAGGCACGCAGGGCCTTCGGGGCCCTGGCCAAGCGGGTGGCTGACGCCACGGGGGAAGACGCCGCACTGGTTGCGGACCAACATGCCCAGCGACTTTCCGTCTCCCTGCACAGGGAGACCGCGCGGGCGGTGTTGCGGCGCCTTCAGACCCTGTCTGGAGGGGCGGGGGTGGCAGCGGCCCGCCTGGCCGCGGCCACGGCGGCCTCCACGGCAGACGCCGTGTGAGGTGCCCCCTGCGCTGCCTAGCGCCCCCCGCCCACCCCCCCCCCGCCCTTGCTGGGCAGCGCGGGCGCCCCCCTCGCCCTTTCGCCAACGTCGCGCCGGCGACCCCTCCCACGCGCCGCCCGGCCTTTCCCCGGCGGGGCGGTGGATGGATCCCGCAGAGGGCAATCCCCACCAAGCCGCATCGCGCTGGGTTCGGGCGGCCACCCCGCCCAGGTCGCCGCCGTAGGGTCCGCAGCCTCGTCGCGGGCGGCTCTTCTCTCCCGGCCCCTGGCCCGGCCTGTCTGCTTGCGGCCGCTGCTTTCTCTCCTCCTTGTCCTCCTCCCCCTCCTCCCCCTCCCTTCGCTTCTGCTCGTTGCTTCCCTCCCTTTCCTTTCCTCCTGCTCCCTGCCTGCTGTCTCCGCCTGGCCCGTCTTCTGCCTGCCCGCCCGCCCCCCCG